TTGAGAAATCAGCTGACAGTCTTATGGGAGTTCCCCTGTAGGTGACTAATTGCTTTTCTCTTTCTGCTTTTAGGATTCTCTCTGTGCCTTTAACCTTTGGTGTTTTAATTATGATGTGTCTTGGTGTGGGCATCTTTAAGTTCATCTTCTTTGGGACTGTCTGCATTTCCTAGGCTTGTATGTCTATTTTTTTTCACCAGGTTAGGGAAGTTTCCCATCATTATTTCTTCAAATAGGTTTTTAATCCCTTGCTCTCTCTTTCCTCCTGCTAGTACCCCTATGATGTGAATATTGGTACACTCGATGTTGTTCCTGTGGCCCCTTAAACAATCCTCATGATTTTTTTAGATTCTTTTTTCTTTTTGCTGTTCTGACTGGGTGTTTTCTGCTACCTTATCGTCTAAATAACTGATTTGATCTTCTCCTTCATCTAATCTACTATTGATTTCTTCTAATGTATTCTTCATTTCAGTTTTATATTCTTTATTTCTGACTGATTTTTTTTTTAAGTTTTATGTTTCTTTGTTAAAGTTCTCACTGAATTCATCTATTCCTCCCCTAAGTTTATTGAGCATCCTTATAACCAGTGTTTCGAACTCTGTATCTGGTAGATTGCTTGTCTTCATTTTGTTTAGTTCTTTTTCTAGAGCTTTGTTTTGTTCTTTCATTTGGGACATGTTTCTCTATCTCTTCATTTTGGCTGCCTCCCTGTGTTTGTTTCTATGTATTAGGTAGGGCTGCTATGTCTCTCAGTCTTAGTAGAGTGGCCTTATGTAGTAGGTGTCCTCTGGAGCCCACTGGCGCTGTCACCTGAGCCGGATGCTCCAGGTATGTCCCTTGTATGGGTTGTGTATGCCTTTCTGTTGTAGTTGAGCCTTGGTTGCTGTTTGCACATCCGTGGGAGGGACTGACCCTTGGGCTGATTGGTATGAAGACTAACCAGTGAAAGGCTGACCTATGGAGCAGGTTTTGCTTTAGCAGACCTCTGGTACTTGCTTCATCTGCCCTTTGGTTGTGTTGTCCTCGGATGCAGCCCTGGGTGATGCTCCAGCTCTTGTGGTTGCTGGCAATCATGTGTGCTAGCCCCAGGGTCTACTGGGAGGGACCCCCACCACAGGTCAAGTTCAGCTGTAGCCTGTGTACTTCCTGGGGCCACCTGACATAAGCCACCAAGCAGTTTGCAGATGGCCACCTCCTGTGCTAGGCTTATAGGTACCTCAAGAGGCCAGTCTGTGAACCATGGCTGACTGCTGCTGTTGCTGGGCTTGGGGCTCCTCAGCAAGACATACAAACGTGCTGAGGCCAGCTGCTGCCTGTTTGGGTTTTGCGAACCTTTGAAAGATTTTAGGAAAATTCACAGCATGAGCCAAGACAGGCCATTGTATGGAAAAGCCACTGGAGGTGGCTTGGGTGGACCCAAAAGTTGAAAGGGGCGGAGGTCTCAGGGAATCACCTGGGCTGGGTGACCTGTGTTAGCCAAGTTGATGGAGACTCAGATATGGAGGCCTCCTGTGTCTGCACACCTGGAGTGGGGAGGGCTCAAAAAAGGAACGGTGGATTCTTCCAGCTCTTCTGTCTGTGAGAAAGCTGCCCTCCAGCCCTCACCCTGAAGCTAGACAATTCCATTTCTCCCTGTATATCCCAGGCAGTTTTTGAGCAGCTTCTCTGGTGCTGGAGCTCAGAGCAAGTGAGTTGTCTATGAGTAAGATTGTGTGTGGGCCCTTTAAGAGGAACATCTGTGATTCCCACAGCCCTTCATCTCACTCAGCCACAATCTCTGCTGGTTTTAACAGCTAGAGGTTGTGGAGACTTCTCTTCCTGGCATTGGAACCCTGGGCTGGGGAACTCAGTGTGGGGCCAGGACCTCTCACTCCTCCAGAGGGACTTCTGCATCCAAGATATCCCTCTTGATTCCCATCCACCACATGTAGTGGGACCAGCCTGTTTTGTGTCTCCATTCCTCCTACCAGTCTTGAGGTGGCCTCTTATGGATGTCTTCAATTGTAGGACTTCTATTCGGCCAGACCTCAGGTGACTCCCGGTGTTGGTTGTTCTGTAGTTTAGTTGTAATTTTGATGTGGTTGTGAAACTGGTGAGCACAGTATCTATCTACTATACCATCTTGACCAGAGGTGTCTATTAATTTATTTAACTTAGAATGGTCCATACTTTATTTCTTTGTATTCTTTGTTTTTTTGTTGTTGTCGAAAATTGAGCATTTGAATCTAATAATGTGATAACACTGAAACTCAGATTCTTCTGCTTCCTCAGAGTTTGCTTAAAAAAAAGAAAAAAGCTTTGTGGGATGCCCCTTTGACATGAGTCACATTGAGGTGTAAACTTAAGGTCTTCTTAGATTTTTTCTGATTCTTTCTTTTGGCATATGTAGTCACTTTCTGATTTTCCCTGTATGTACAGATGTTTCTAATGTGCTGGTCTTTAATGTCTGGTTTCCAAAAGGGAGAAAAGGAGAAAAATTATGAGAGTTAAAAAGGGTGCTGGCCCTTTAAATGCCCTGGAAGTCACTTTGGTTGTAAGGTGAGAGCTTTGTAACAGTGGAGGAAGGTTCAACAACAATGACTGTGTGCCTCTCTTTCTGCCCTTCTGTGACAAGAAGGAGCAATCAGCAACCAGAGCAGAGATCCTTTATATTTGGAATACAGAATACTTTTGCTACCCTAGCTCTCACCAACTGCTATACAAGGAACCTGTGCACAGTTGCTTGCCATGTGGCTACAGGAGGGGGTTAGGAAGCTGCTACTGGGTTAAGAGCTGAATGAACTGACATTAACTCCAGTTTACATCCAAGCTTTCTCCTAAAAGTGGCAAGCCATTCATAGACTCCATAGTTCTCAAATAGTTACATCAGAGTTTTCCAGGGCAGTTGTCTAGGTGGGGAGATAGATTCCTGGTGCTTCCTACTCTGCCATCTTCCTGGCATCCTCTCTTCTTCCTTTCATTTTCAAGAATTTTAAGTTGGCATTTGATTTCCTTCAGAATTTAAAATATGTGGTTTTATTGTTTTCTTTCATCATTTTTGTTGAGAAGTCAGCTCTCTGCTTATCTGTATTTCTATCAAAATATCTTTTTTCCCTCCTGGCTACTTGTACGATTTCTTTTTTTCATCAGTTTTTCACCAGTTTTGTTATAATAATCCTTAGGGTAGGATGTGTGCATGTGTATGTGTACTCTTGTATTTATCCACCTTGGACTCATTAAGATTCTTGGATCTGTTTGTGCATAATTTTCATCAAATTTTGAATTTTTTTTTTTAGTTTTCTTTTTCTTTTCCTCTGTTCCCTCTTTTTAGGATCTAATCACATATATATAATACTGCTTGATAATGTCTCATAGGTCATTTGGGTAGACTCTATTGCTACATCTTAAAATTGATTGATCTTTACATGATCTATAATATCTAATCTGTTAATTTCTCCAGTGAAATTTTTACTTTAGTTATTATATTTTTCAGCTACAGAATTTCCATTTTAAATATATTAGTTATTTCAGCATTATGTTCGTGTTTTTCTTTACATCTATTATAGAAATCATGTATATTTTTGTTTTACATGTTTTAATATCCTTGTTTACTACTTTCATTACATTTTTCATTTCCAAGTTTTCTTTATTGTGTAATTTCTCCTGGTTGTGGTTACATTTTTCTGCTATTTTAAATGTCTGGTAAATTTTCATTACATGTCAGACATTACAAGATTAATAGAGTTTTGCTCTGCATATGTACAGTTTGATATTTTACCATATATTGAAGGGACAGCTGTATATATTTCCCTAAAACTCTTTTCTTTCTTCTTTCTTTCTTCTTCTTCTCCTCCTCCTCCTCCTCCTTCTTTCTTCTTCTTTTTTTTGGTATAGTTCCATCTTCTGTGGCAACAGTCCCCAACCTTTTTGGCATCTGGGACTGGTGCTCCTATATGAATGTAATGCCTGATGATCTGAGGTGGAGCTGAGGCGGTGATGCTAGCACTGGGGAGCAGCTGCAAATACAGCTGAAACATTGCTTGCTCACCTATCACTCACCTCCTGCTGTGTGGCCTAGTTCCTAATAGGCCATGGACCCGTACTGGTCCACTGCTTGTGGGTTAGGGACCCTTGCTCTCTCGAACTCCAGTACACCAATTCTAGCCATCTTGACCTCTCCTTAATTTGATCTCTTTCTCCTCATTTCAGCACGATAGCTGGGTCCATTTTAGGCATCCCTCCCTGTGCCACAGTCCAGTATGTGCTTACAAGAAGGAAGCCTGGGTAATGGTAGGGCTTGTTTCATTTATTTGTCTTTTCTCAGAGTTCAGCATATTGTACTCCCAATTATCCATTGGCTGAAGAAGTTATTTCTCTTAATTTGTCCAGTTTTCTAGTTGTTTATGGTCAGGAGTCTAAGTGTTAATCCTGTTACTCCCTCATGGCCATCAAAGAGTTCTCTTCATAGGTATTTTAATGGGAAAGCAAGAGAGATTTTCATAAAAGCAGAGATTTTTCAAGGCAAATAGCAGATAACAGAACCAGAAATTTTTCTAGTTATTCTATCTGATGTGAAGGGTCTAGGACCAGAAATACTCAGGGCAGGTGCCTTGCTGGAAAATGGGTCAGAGAAACAAAGGATGATCGAGTAGATTAGTATAATTCTGAGACCTCAGGGCCTTGCCACATCACCACACCCCTCAGCTTACTTTCAGGTCACTACTGTACCTACCGTTTTCTTGAGGCCAGAAAGCCCCTAGATAGGGAAGCTACTCTTCCATCATCACTGACATTTTATTATGTGTCACAAAAGATTAATCCCTAGGGCAGAAAAATATGAACATCAAAGTGTAAATGATTGGTACTTAGGCCTTTGCTGAGATTTTCGAGGGAGTTAGGAATCCTAGTGAGACTTGTGACCTTGATGGGCTTTCTGAGAGCCCTATTTA